GTGCGGGAGAAGTAGGTTTGGAGGCAGGTCCCGTCACACAACCGATCATCGGCATCGGGGCTGTCGGTATCGAAGAATTCGTGGGGGAGCCGATCATTACAGCATCATAAAATGTATTAATGGTGGTGCGCCGGACACGGGAGGAACGGGATCCTACACACCACCAAAAACGCCCCGAACATCGTGATTTGAAATAGTTCATCCTCGATCGTCGCCTTGGTCACCTCTTCTGTCTGGCGAGGCTGGCTAGGCTCGAGGATCTCATTGGCCAATCCCCGCGAGGAGGGAATATCTCTCATATCTTCAAGGCCAATGTACCTTAGACGTCTTACGCCCACAACACCCATCGGTGTTGTCATGACCACCTGAATCTCGGTGATGATCGCGAAGAAGTGAGGCGGGCCGGGCAACCAACTAACTCATCAGCATATTGCTCGTGACCACGCCCAACGCCCAAGAGAAGAGAGATGAATCCGCCCTCGGCGGTCCAAGACTTCAATTTCTGGTCAAACACAAGAAAAGCAATGCACAACTCAAACAGGCTAACAAAAAAACTCGTTGTAGTATGCACATCAGCGCCCGCCTGCCTAATACAGTTACAATCCGTCCGTCCATCTCATCCATCATCAACCCTAACTATACAGAGAGAAAGAGTCCCAAAACAAAAGGAAAAAAACACTCTAACCCAGATATTCCTTCAACTCCTCATTCTCTTCTAGCAACGTCCCAAAACTGAAGGGCGCAAACGGCCAACCACCAAACTCGGCAAACTTGCTGAAAGACTCGACCCACGCAAGACGCAACGAGTGCAACATGGCCGACACACCCTCCATGATAATCAAGATGATACAGCTGAGGCAGAAGAAGGCTGCAAAGATCACCACAAGGAAGATGGCGCCGCCAATGCCCTTGCCGTTCTTCAGTGCGGGCCCCATGGTCATGCTCCACAACACAGCCGACAGCTGTTGATGAGCAAGAGACAAGGCCCAGAGACGAAGGTAGGAAGCCGTGTGGGAAACGCAGTTGAGGCAGAATTCTGTAAAACGGGCCTGTTAGCATAGCGAACAAGGATCACATATGGCAAGGAAACATACCAATAGTGTGTATGACCTGGTGAATCATCACCTCACCAAACTCAAACTCCTCGTGCTCCTCATCTTCGTGGTCGACACCCTGCGCGATCATACCAACGCCCTCGTCACTTTCTCCACTGGGACGACCGTTTGCTCCATGGCCCTCATCATCCTCGTCCAGAGCACTAACTCTTGATCGTTCGCCGATCCCGCGATAACCCTTGGCCCGGGCGCGGTTGTGCTCCCAGCGCAGATAAAAGGGCTTGAGGAACAAGAGAATCGGCACCTGAAGGACGTGCGAAGAACAACAAGAACTTTTGAACAGCCGCTTGACCGCTTTTCATAGGATGTCGATGAAACCGGGCTGGAGGAACATGTAGATGAGCATGTTGAGCAATCCAGGGGGCTGCTGTCCAATGGCGAACCAGTTCACGCTAA